CACAAGTCTTAAAGTTGCCAAGGTTGGACACCCCTGATCTAGACAGTACAATTTTGCCATAGATTGGATATGTTAATACTCTGCCCTTACGTTTTTCAGGAAATATGTGCTTAGAAACAGCTGCCAAAACCAAGAATAACAAATGCTTGCCTCACCAAAGACGAATTTTGCCATCTTTGTGTCCACTTGCTATGCAGTCTTCCTTTGGGTGACAGGCTATACAGGTGAAATGGCTGGTTGAAGCATTCCTAAGATTTTTACCTATAGAGAAGCTTCAAAAACAGGAGTTACAGCTTGGTTAGTGCGGCTGTTAAGAAAAATTATCCAAGAGATTAACAAAATTAAAATTCTAATTGCAAGTGTCACCTCCTCACAAGAATGCAGCACATGTAACAACACAGAGATAGAAGACTGCAGTACCATCTACATGGGATTACCCTTTGAAGGCTACTCAGAAACTGAAACTAATTCAGAATATTGCTACAGTCTCTGTATCTATTTTGGCATCCATTTCATTTGCTCTCAACCTAATTGTTCGATAATTTTATGTCTAAAAAGTTTGGGAAGTGGGAATGGATTCTATAGAGACGAGCATAGATCTTTTTGATTAATTCCTCCCTTAATCTATTTTCCTTTCTCTTTCACTGCAGTCACTGGATAGGAATCAAGCCCAGTAATTGAATGAGTTGGGGATTCTGGAACCTTTTAGGGCTGTTTGAAAGATACTTGATCTTTCCACGTCTTTCTCTTCTAATAAAGAATTCTTGGAAGCCGAAATAGAAAATGTTTAATTGATATCCACAGAAAATCTTTTAAAATCTGGGTCAACCACAATAGTGGTAAGCATTTGATGAGTTTTTCAAACAACAAATTGCAAGTTGTTATTTAAAGCAAGTCATAACAATAACTCGCAGCAAATTGCCTCTAGGCAAGATGGGCAGCATAAATAAACGAGCTTGCATTTTAAAAAAGGATGCATTTTGGATCCCCAAATTTTATTTTTATTTAAAAGTTTTATATAGACACCCATCTTATGAATCACAATCCTGGGCAGCTCATAAGAAATAGTAAAACAGTAAAAAAGAAGTCATTAAAATCCAACAAAGAATCTCCCAATGCCCCCAAATAGAACACTTCCTGACACATAGAGAGAGAAAAAAATAGACTTCCCTGGGTTCCATCCTATTGCATAGTAAGGCTGTGGTAATAGCCACCTCTTCCTAGGTTTTCACAAGGCCAGCAGGATAGTGGCCTGCCAAATCTTAAGGGGGAAGAGTCCAAAAGGACTGTGTCAAGAAGGCACACCTCCTAGGTCTCACTGGGGAGAAACATTCAAAGGAAAGTATCTGGACCATGCTCACCCTACCCAACCAGCTGGAACACGCAGACATCCTCACAGAGAGTATCCTGCCCCCTTGTCATTCATGCCTTTAAAAACGAAGTCAGAAACTTCAAAAAAGCACTTTGGTTTATAAATAGTTTTTATTTGAAGCAGCCAAACATTTTTACAGAAAATCTAATCAATTAACTGGTTAAAAGAGAATTTTTATATTGTTTTTAAAATATCAAATAAACTGATTCATCCCTCGACATCCGAACTAGTAAAAGAGGAAGTAAAGAAGAACTGATTGATATGTTGCCTTGGCTATCACACAATAGCCAACTTATGCTTTTAATCCTCACCTGTAACTCTTCTTCTTCTTGAAGAAACAAACAACAAGATGAAGCTTCCAAACTGATACTACATATTCACCCTGTCATAATGAAAATATAGTTGGAAATTTCAACTTAAGTAATTTACTGAATATACCACTTTAAATTGTGAACCAAGCCTTTAATATACAGATGTGTACATAAATTATAATAAGCCAAAATCAAGGAAAAATATAACTTGGTGCAATATATGAATCTGGATTTACTTTCTGTCAAGATCTTAAATCTTTAAATCAAGATTTCTGTCAAGATCAAAACATTTGTTTGATTACAAAAATAATTAGAACAGTTGACATGTGACAACAAATAAGGTCTACAAGAGGAGCTATTAATTTAAAGCAAACCCCGAAAAAGTGACTTCATGCATTGGTAGCCAATCTGGTGCCTTGTAAGTATTTTGGGCCTGCTTCCATCAGCCTCAGTCATTATGACACATGACAATGGATTGTAGAAGTTGTAGAACAAGACATCTGGAAATCATTAGGCTGCCCATTCCATTGTTAAAAACACCAAGAAGTTACATGTTTGATAATGTGGCCCAGCTGTCACTGAAATGAACAGTTTCCACATCACAAACTGGACGGAGAGCCGGGCTTTAGTCAAGAAGAAATACTGTAAAAAGTTTGCCATGAAGGAACTTTGGGAAGGAGGAGAGGAAACAGCATGTATGCTGATTGAGAAATATACAACTTTGTTAACTCCCTGAACAGGCCATCTAGTTTTTGATAACCCATATCATCGACGATCGCCCAAATTTTTGCTTTTCTCCTGCAGCAGACTAATCAGAGAGATGAAAAGAAGAATCTGGAGCCTGATTAGCCCAAACATCTCTCTGTATAATATGTATGTTATGCCCTGCTAGACAGTAGGCTCAGAAATCCATTCATTTTCTGTCTACTTGGAGGACTGTATTTATTTAAAACTAAAAGAGATTGTTACAGAGTTCATCTTAGGTTTATTTTTGATGGAACTGGTTTACCTTCCAAGGAACAAAAGGGAGGGAGGGAACAAAAGCTTGAAAACACTAGTCACTTGCCTATACAGTATCTGACCGAAAAGTTGTGATTTTTAAAAATTATTTTTAATTTTTGACCATTTAATCATCGAAAAAGGCAGCACAGATTTTGGGAGAATGGGAGGACTGATGGTGTCCTCCCATAAGTGGCAACAGAGTCACTTGCCAAGTCACTAACCCATCCCCACAGGATCAGCCATTTTTGCTCCACCTTAAGAGTAACAAAAGTATACATACATCTCTTCCAAACGCAGTGCATTTGGGCGACTGGCTTACACCATCTAAAACCATTTCTAGGTCATTGGCTTCCACTTCTTGATCAGGTGTTTTTGGAAGCTTCACTGTCATGAGCTGAAACTCATCTGGTGAAATAAATATTTCTTACTAATAAATTGGTACAATGGATACGAGCTGGCAGTAAGGTATGAATACAATCATGAGTTGCAGATTAAGGAACAACTATCAGATTCATATATCTTATTGAATCAAAATTAAACTACATTTTATGACTTAGTACAATGCATAAATCAGAACATTTTTTCCTATGGCTTGAATTACAGAACGCATTCACTGAACTCACAAGAGACATTTTTCCTAACCTGCCCTCCTTTCCCCATCCCCAAATTCTCTCTAGAGAGATAAAGAATTAGACTAAATCCAGAAAAATCTACTTTGGCTTCAGTTTTGGGATAAACTCATGATGCTCCTTCATTCACCCACAATGGGAAGTTAGTCATCTTCAGCCTAACCATAAACACTTATCAACCAGTTCATAGACAGGTCTTCAAGTTCCAATAGTCATACCATTAAATTATTTTATTTCTCCTAGAAGAATGGCACTTTCATAGGTCATTGTTTTACAAAACTTACATCACAATAAAAGTTAGCATTCAATGAACCACAACACTGCACATTGCTTTTGCAACTGGTTTAGAACAAATATGCATCTGAAAATCCTGTCAAATAGTTAACAATCCTGAGCTAGAAAAAGAATAACCTTAAAATAAAGTAAGTAATTCTGAGAATGTAAGAGAGCTTATAGATGCCTACTTTTGTTTTCCATAATGCAAGGCAGAGTATCACAAGTAGTGAATTTATTTTACCCCAGCCTTCCTTTCTTTAACAAAAATTTCAAAGAGGTTCACGAGAACATAAGATCTACAGAAGAAAAAGGACATGGGTTAAAACATACCTGATTTTTCATGCTCTGAAATGATGATAAATGCAGAATTCTCTGAACTTGCAAGAGTGTAAAATGCAAAGAGTTTAGACCCAACAACAAATGTCTGGAAGAAAAGAACAAAGCAACACAAAATCTCTGTTAAATTTCAGCTAATCTCAAGGTGAAATCTGTCAAGAAATACAATTTGTCCTAATTTCCAAGCAGCTTCTGAAAGTACAATAAGAAAAATACTCCCTGCCCCATATTCGTAATATGTTTGTTCTTTTGGTTTGGCTTAGTTACTGGCACAGTTGCTCTTATGCCAGTACAACTGATTGTGTCCCCATTTATATTAAAATCTTTCTAAGATTGTTAAGCACAGTATTCATGCTGATTATTTCATTTCATTATTAAGCATTATTTACTTGACAAAAATCTGCAAAATTACAGGTAGTCCTCGGATAACAGCAGCAATTTGAGACTGGGATTCCTGTCACTAAGCAATGTAGTCGTAAATGTGATGACATGTGACCACCTTGCTTAGCGATTGCTGGCACTTCCTCTTGCTGTCATTAAGCAAATCACCATGGGTCAATAAATGAGGACATCATGTGGTCATCATTTACCACTTCCTACCAGCTTCCGTATTGACACTGCTAGTAGAAAATCAGCAAAGAAGTCCACAGAGGGTGATCACATAACCACTGCAACACTGCAGTACAGTAGTGCAAAACATTTACCTTCCAACTGCTTATGGAACTTTCGAGTAACAAATTTAGTTTTGAAGAAGATAACATATCATAGTGTCTGATAAAATATGGATGTGCAAAATGCAACATTTCTAGGGATAGAATTGTACGGTACTCCTGGAATATCCTGTTTTTTTCATGGCATGAATGGTCATGCTTAGGACATCACAAAATCACTGTATCTGTGTTCTGGGGACCAAATACCCAGTTCACAATCACATGAGCTTGGGGATATTGCAATCACCAGAACTTTGAGGATCAGTTGTAAGTACTATTCATTCATAGCTGTCACAAGTTCGAATAGTTGCTGAACAAGTGGTCATTTAGGGACGACCATGGTATCAGAAGAAACTGCAATTATAGATTATATACTGAAAAACCTCTGTTCACATCCTGGCCCTGGGCATAACAGTTATACTGCACATGCTACATATAGTAATCTAGAGAAAACCTATTTATTCCATTTATTCCACTGTCAAATCTGCAGGAATTCCTGCAGCAATTAAAAGAGTTATGGTAAAATATTTTTAAAAGCCCTAAAATATAGTAATCAACTTAATACTAACAAAACTTACTGTAAGAAAATAGTAATAATAACAAACCATACTGAGCAACCATAATACAATATACTTTTTTTCCTAGTCTTATAAGCCACTCCAATCACTGATTATTGAGAAACAAAACCTGGCATCTATACATCAGGTTAAAATAGTAATAAAATAAAAATAATACCTACTAATATGAACATATGTCCAAACTATAAATTTGACAACATTAATGACATTAAGCAATACTTAATTATTAAAAAAAATAATTTCACAACATCTCAAATCCTCAAAATCTCTTGAACAGCCAGATTTTTATGTCTTCGGAGATCATTAGGAGCCATTTGAATTTCTGGGTAAATTTTGTTCGATATTTTGAATTATGTCTTAGATTACATGAAGTGTAGGAAATGATTTAGTTTAGCCAACATATAGCTTGCATGATAATGGTAGATTATTATTACACCACCATACAAAAATCATACCCAATATCATCCCACTATACATAATGCCTGTTACTTAATTTAACTGCTGAAATCAAAAGACTATTTCTTGGTTCGTTAGGTACAAATCTGATTAATAATTTGTGGTTTCATATCTTTGTGAGCATAAATTATGAATGATATATAAGATTAAAGGAAAGCAAAACTGAACAAACCTTGATAAGAATTCCATCCATAAAATCCCAGAGTTTAATAGTGCCATCTAGAGACCATGAATAAAGCTGGTAACAGAGAAAAAAAGAAGTGATCTATAAATTTCAATTTTGATACATGTAGAAAAAATGTTCAGTACCTCTAGTGGCTTCCTTTATTTATGACATTATAGAATATGATATTTTAATGTATTTGGTAAAAGCATTCATTTAGCTACAAAATCATGTGTGCATATTTATTCCTGGTACCTGCCAAAACATAGGCTCACAAATAGCACAAACATAGATCGGTTTGTTTTTTTAATTATAATAAAAACTTTCCTGAAACCCAGTAATAATTAAACCCAACCAACATATAGAATTCAAAGAACCATTTTAAGTCCCACAGATTCATACTAACTTTAAGAGTTTTTATCCAACAAGAAGCACTAAGGGCACAACCTTATGTACTGGATCTTAGGTATCCTAAGAAAGAACTGCTGCATTACTCCATGGAGAAATCCCACTGAGTGGGGACAACAGATGCAAAAGGTACTTCTCAGCCTAACCAAGTCAATTTCCATATAAGGATAGAGATGAGAAGCAGCGTTTACTCCTGGGGCCCTCTCAATCCTAACTGCATGCCCAATAATCAGAGATAATGGAAATTGAGATCCAATAAGTCTAAAAAAACAAGTTTCCCTAGTTTGCTTTAAACTATGCAGACATTGAATGACATTGAACTTTTAAATGTGTACAAGAAACTACGGTAGTAAGTTAATGCAGCTGGCTCAGAAGAGAAGTGTCAAACTCACAACATGCTACAATTGGACTGGTATAAGCCCAGCTATTTAATTGAGAGGTAAGCATAGCCTTCTAGATGGACAGTGAAAAATAAAAACCATACAAAGCTTTCACAAGTTTAGAGTCATAGACAGCTAATCCTATTTTCAGCAAACTCCAATTTTCAATTATTAGCCCTTTAGTCCCTCTACCCCAATGATGTGTGAAATGAAGTGACATGCAAGAATTAAGTTTAAAATGCCTTAATCAAACTGATAACAACCTGTAAATGATTTTGGGGATTCAACTGTATTCCTGTCACTAGATTGCTGTGACCTTGTAGGATATGTAGACATTCTTCTGTAAGCGTACTGTAGACTTTAATGTAGTCACCTGAAGCACATAGAAGATACCTGTAAATGATTAAAAAAAAGTTAATGTAAAAGGCATCTATGTAATTCTAACAACATACTGTATAGAATTAGAAAACATGACTCCTCAGATCTTTAACATTAAAGTTAAAAGACTAAAATAAAAAGAAAGGTGCTCAAAATCCACTAAACTATGTGACCTATCAGCACTAAAACTCTGCATTGACCTGGATGTGTTGTTCAAGAGCAGAATATGGGATAAATGTCTTTTCAATAAATATGAAGCAATAATAAACCTATTAAGATTCATATACTTGTATCATTTTACATTTCACATCAAATAAAACAAAACATAGACCCACCACCAGAAATTTATAAGCCAAAATCCCAGAGAAGTGATGTCCAGAGTCTACAAGAAAACAAAAGAGATGTGCCTCTATTTTTACATGACTTACCCAAAAACTAGACTTTCTATTCATAAAGACTAAACATTACAGCAAGAATGGTAATAAGAGGGAAGCCAACTGCAGATCCTATGGCACTTTCTCCTTTCGAAGTGACATTACGGACTGCAAATTCATCCTAAAGTAAATTTTTGGAGTTCAAAAGCAGTTACCTAAAGATATTAACAGCCTAACCCAGAAAAGACATTACTACTACAATCAGGTGAATATTCCCGGCTTATATTTCTACATGATGTATCAGCGCAAGCATTTTATCTACAAGTGCATTGCATACGCGCAGGTACATGTCAATAAAATAAACGCCGTCCTTCTTGCAATTGCAGCTTTCCCACGCAATGGAAATTCGCCGCCCAAGAGAAAAGAAGAGCTCTTCAACTCGCCAATTCTACTAACTTCGAATCTGCAGAAAACACCGCGCGACAATCACTCAACCAGCTCCCGCCGCAGCGAACCACGCGGAGCTCCTCGCGCGCCACCATTTTTCCACGCGAGCCAACCTCCAACCTTCGTGCCCCTCCCCTCCGGGAAATCCAGGAAGAAACAGTCGCTACCTCTCTAGCCGAAGTATTTCCTGGAGCTCTATCGTACTGGGTCCTAAAAGGAAGTAAAGGGGAGGGCTCCATCCGTTTTCCTGCTTTCACGGTTGAAGATCTCGATTGAAAGTACTGATACATAAGAGAGGGGTTAGACAAGAGTGTCTCTCTTGCCCCGGTTAGGATTTCTTGAGCAAATCCGTTCCGCTTTCAGTGAACGCCCCCCCCGTCTTCATATTGAAAGTGGAATGGATTTGCTTAACATTGGGTAAGAAGTAATATGAGTTTGGTTAGCAAGAAATTTGCATAGACAGCCCAGCTGCTAAGTCTTTGCCGTATCTTTGTAACTTCAGCGGGCATGTGATTCCCCCCGACTTGCAATTTAAGATGTGTTCCAGGAGTGTAGAGCGACACTGTTGAGTTGCAGACTAGGTAGTCCGAAATGATTTCTGGAGAAAAGTTTGCAGAGTGTAATGTACACGCTGCCTGTGTCAAATTTCTTATTTGAATCGTGACTGCTCTGTTTTCGCGGTAGGGTATAATAGTTCCGGGCTCAGTTGAGTACATCGGCTAATGAAACTTCAGGAACTGAAACCTAAGTTGAAATAATGCTTTGTTATTAATTTTGCCGATTGTATGAATTGTTTCAAAATACACTGCATGCTGTCTTACATACAGTAAATGCATTGCATACATTTAAGAGCTAGTTTGGTGTAATGATTAAAACACACAAAAAAGCGACCCTGGGTCGGTCTCTCTCAGCCCTGAGAAGCAGGCAAAAGGCAAACCACTTCGGAAAATTTGGCCAAGAAAGTTGCGGAGACTTGTCTCCAGGACTCAAAACACACCCACCCCAAAACATTTAAGTTAGAGCAAGGATGGGAAATACAAAATACTTTGATTGCAAAAATGGGGTCCCCACAAGAAAGATAAGCAATTCGCTCAATTCAAAAATAAAATTATTCTCCAAATTTTATAGTTTGAATGTCATTCTTAAACAGCTTTTTTGATTTGCTGACTTCCTCCAAGCCCTCCGGTCCCAAATGCAATGCAAGTCTCAACTAAAAGAATCCAGCTTAATTGCTTCTCTGACTCCAATCAATCACCCAATGGTATAGAAGCTTTATATTCTCTGGCGCATATTGGACTTTCTGTATAAGCAAAA